CCTATAAATACCGCAGCCCCTTGTGCAACAACCACCCGTTTCTGCTCTTTTGTCTCTGATGATGGATTCGAGTAGGAATCTGAAACGTCGGGCTAATAAAGCTCTTGTCCCGGCGATCGTCTCCTTCTTCAAAATTACCAGATACCTAGCGGGAGCGACTGATTCATTTGAATTAGACCTTCTTCGACAGAGGTGCTGAGTACGCTAATAGATTTAGGAATCCAGACACACTGGTTTACCCTCGTAACCACTTGGGAGCAGTTTATTTTTGAGTGTTTGAGCGTCTTCGTTTTGCCGAGTTGAAGAGTTTGAGTTTCCGCTCTTCACGACAGCTTGACCATCGATTTTGGGGATGTCCGCGCTGTGCTCCACAGCTGGGGAAAGCAGGGACGGTGACTGACTTGAACTACTTAATGGTGACAGTAGACCTGTGCAGCGTCTACCGCACTCACTCCTTGTCCACCTGGATCCGGTGTCAATACATAGTCAAGAATGCAGGGGGTGCGAGAGGCCACAGGCGACTGGCAGGGTCAAAATCCTCACCTAGACGTATCGCCACACTCCTTGGTCCACAACATGCACTGACCAGGATTTTATGCTCCCACAAAAGTAGGGAGTGGCATGGACCCCAATGGACGCAGCGTGGGCGTGCCACCACACCCCCGATGTTGGCACTTGTTATGAGTGTGCGTCCCCTGTAATGCCTCCCGGCCACCGATCTGGCCTTTGTGTTGGTCTAGAGCATTTGCCGCATGGTCCGTTTAGGGGCACAGTAGTTTGGTCAACGAAGCGTCTCTTTGCTTCAGCGCGGTGCTAAGATTGATGCCGCGATTATTCTATGCTGACGAACGCATCTTGCTGAACAGCTAATCATGTCTGGGGATCCTAGCTTTGATTTCGTCCCATTTAGTGGGGCCAATTGAGATTCTTTCAAAGATAGCGACCGCCCTTATGGAGGATATTATGGTCGTTGACAATGTTTTGTCCTGTGTATTCCCTAGTTGGGATTGCTTCGACCTACCCATTGTATATACCCGATCGAAACCGAAAGGGCAACGGGCTCGTGGCCCAGTGGTTAGAGGCGTTGGACTTCTAACTAACAGGTCGCGAGTTCGAGCCTCGGGTGGTCTACACTCTGGGTTGGATATGCCTGGCTGACGACGGCTAATAAGCCAGAAGTTGCCATTCCGGTCTCCCTTGTCTTTGTCGGTAATGCTATTCAGTCTTTTATTCGTCTTCGTGGTCATTCGCTTTACAGTCAGACTACAAAGGGTATGCTAACAATTCGACGTCCATTTTCGAGGAATCAGCGGGGCACGTCGCTGTCACAGAGAGTAGGGCTCCCATTAGCCGTGACCCGAGCCCCAGCGCGGACTAAGCAGGTTTTAAGACGCGGTGAGTGGCAGTGTTCCACTAAGTGGGCCTCGGATACTTACCTCTGATGCTATTCAGATAGGAATTCGGACATGCCCAGTCGTCCTTATGCAGGTCTAACTGCGAATTCCAGCTACACTATATCCACCATTCACCCATTGCCATTTGATTTGAGATCCGTTATAAGTAACGAGTGCGATCATGAGGTTAAATACGATTTTGATTTTGACGGACCTACGCTAGGTCTGTCTCTACTTTTCACCCGGATCTTGTTCCAGGGACAAGTTTCCCTGTCCGTCCCGGGGATTTTGTGGACGCATTTTCTGCGCTGACTAAAGCTCGATACAAGCGCCCAGAGCGCATGCTTCTACGCCACCTACGCATCTGACTTGCAAATCCATCGGGGTGACTAGCCATAATAACACCGTCAGTCGACACACCTGTCTATGGAAATTACTTTTGACTGAGCTTAAAGCAACAGATGATGGGCGGGGTCCGTATTAAATGTTCAGACTCTTCTTTACCATTAGATCGGCCTCACCCTACCAGTGTAATTGACTTTCCTGACTTAGGGGTTCGCCTTGTTCAGTGCAGCCCCTTAAACATAGTTGGGATCTGTAAATCGCCTTCGCGATTTCGCCGGTCATGTGTGGATACCCGAAGAACTGTCAGAGCTTTCAACCGTGCTTGTTTCGAAATGGCAACCAAGAGACCAGCAGTTACCTTTAGGACTTGAGTCCAGACACCTACTAGTTCAGAGATCTGCGGTGGTTTTCATCACACCGTAAGGGCCCTGCTCGTGCATCATCGGGCTTGACAGCCGACGGTGAACGAAGCACCCCATTACCATCTTCGCAACTGAAGTCACGATAAGCATGTCTAGTACGATTTCCTGGTGGGTGAGATTCTCATGGCAGCGGCTCTCCCTGCGCAGCTTGCCGAACGGAACAATATATCTGGTTTCCTCGCTATGGCTATCGGTTTACTTCTGTGTAACGTTGGCTCAGTGGGGACCCCACGACATAGGCATCTCAGCCCATGCGGGAGGCCGCATGTTGTTAGTGTTTATAATTGACTTCTCTTTATTATATTCCTTTGTATTCAGGATACCGCACTTAGGCGTACTTTAGGTGACTGAAGTCCACATTGCGGTTCGAGCTCAGAGAAGTCACCTGCCATCAACAGGCCGGTTTCATCATCCTACAACCTAAAGCTGCACATGGGAGCCTGTTTAAACATGGATTTGGCTTCAAAGTTCCTCGTCGGGGATCTACGTTCCACCTTGTTTACATCGCCAGTCATGGAGCCTGGACAGCCGGTCTCATTACCGCCGAGAAATATCTTTGTTTCGCCGCATTTGTTACGCGTTTGATCTTTTTCGCGTTAAACAAAAGTCAACATTGTTTCATAAGTTCCTTTGTCGCAAACTTTTTCCGACCAGAAATTGTCTTAAGGTTTTGGAGGCTGTCAGAACCGCTTGCCGATGGCGATCAGCAGATCCTAGGAATTGACAGTTGTAGCCCCTCTTGCTGCCGAGCCGAGCTAAGGTTCGGCCCAGAACAGAGCCGGGACGTTTTTAAAGGCTGGCAATTGGACAAATTCGACATCAGAGGCACGCAGGCTCGCAGCTGTCTGAGGGTTATGTGCGAATGAAAGACAGGTCATGCAGCGCCTTGTGCTGATATTAGGTTCGAGTGATGATGCTCGTCCGAAGTACTCCGTCCTGACTGAAATCGCCGGTTGTTTTTCGTGCCGCACATATAGATCCCTCCCTGCACCATGGCCATTTGTGACAAACCAAACAATTTAAAGTTAAGTAAGATTTGGCAGGCACAAAGGTGCTAGAGCGACATTAGAAACGCCACTCAGCCGGAAGTGAATCCTTGCCAGCCGATGTTTGAAACTGCTTTGCGAGGCAGTGTGTTCGTTTTTAACGCAAAACCCCGGTTCACCAAGTGTCCTCCGCATAAGAATAATGAGGGCAAGTGTGGAATTGGTGCATGGGTTTCTTCGTACGTTGCAGAGTAAACTTCTATGCGGTTTCCGAGCTGCCTGACAGAGGTTCAGCACCCGGAAGCGACCAGCTTGGTCACCTGCATGGCGCAGCGACTCCAGTTGGCCAACTTACGTAGGACCGTGCAACTGAATCATTTTTAAATGTCCGGGAAGAACTGCTGTGGCGGTCCCAGATAGCCGCATAAACCAAATGTCGGGATGGTGGCGTGGGCAGGCAGGTAAAGTCCCCTTTAGTTAGGTGGGCGGTGCCGACGGCAAGGTTGACTGGTCAGACCACTGGCTAGGAGTCCGCCATGGTCTCGCATTACGCCCGAAGGCGATTGTGAATAACGCCCTCTTGCATTTGTCTTATCGGTTTCCACTAATTCCTCTGGGAGCCTGTCAACTAGTCCGTCTGTAGTTTGCGCCACTAACCGGCTAGTCTGATCCGTATATTTATCGCGACTGTTAACTGCGTTTGGGACGAAGTATACGAACCAGTGTCCCCTGGTAGGGGGCCGTTATATGCTCAAGCGTCCTTATGCGTACGTTAGGCTGGCCTTAACACACGACATCGCGCACAATTTCCTGATTCTATGAGAAGTAAACTAGTCTGACCGTAATTGTCTGCATTCACCGGTGGGGACCACGGCACTCGTGTCACACTAGCAGCGTATTAATGATCTGGGGTCTGATTTCACCCATGTTGCTTTCGGGGAGCAAGGATGTGTCGCTCATATGACGACGCTGTATGCTACCGACTACGAGGAGTGGAATTAAAGCCGACGCTGCAATCATGCCTTTGGAGCCGACCGCTGGGAAGGGTTGTGGTCCTAGGGCGTTTATGCTAACCGCCCTTGTCCGCGTGCAGCGGACCGCTTCTATTTGCGGAAGAGACCAACACGGAACCGGTCTGCGCGCACAAAGAATTGATTGTTAATTTGGTGATCTGAATTTATTTTTAAACTAGGCGATGAGCTTTGTCGAAAATGCAATGGTCAGAGAATAGCTGACTACTGGAGGACAGGTAATAGTAGGACGAGGCCAGGACAGTTTCGGTTGGCGGTGCCAATGTAGTCATTAATTCTTGTGTTTAGTACTCCGAGGCAAGGCTCTAGGCCCTCAGTGTTCGTTGCTCGGTTGACGTTGTGAATGCGGTTAGCTCGGGCCTGGCATCCAATCCAGGTTCGATCTTGCCATCCCCGCTCACTTTCACATTACTAGCCCCGCCATCGACCTCACCTTCGACAGAAGCTGGTAGACCTCGGAGCCTGTATGCGTCAACAACGGCGGATTGACCGTGTGGCCTCCCATTGTTGCCACTGCGAGGCAACTCCGGTCAGTTAAATACCCTCGAGACGTCCATAGGAGACAACAAGACCGCAAGTTATTATACTCCAGCAGCACAAAGCATGACTTGTAGGTAAGCACGGGTGCACTCCGCGTCGGCCGTGTAAGCATTACGTTCGTTTTGCCAGGGCTCAACTCCCCTGACTGAAGTTCGAAGGATGAAAGGGGTACTCACTCTGGTGGCGGGCACTGTCAGATTTAGGAACAAAAGGCCTGCTCCCTACCAGGATGCCGGGGGGAGGCAGGCATATCTGCTGACCTAGCTGCTGGCCGCCATGCGTATGACGAATGGTGAAACGGCCCACTGCAGGCTAGCTGAGACCAACATCGACCGTGTCATCGGTGCGCGGGGATTGTCTGTCGAGGTAGAGGACGCTGCAAGGTATGAAGATGGTACTGGGACGCAGTTAGTATGGGCCGTCGGTATTTCTACTTGCGACTGAGCCTCTAGGGCCGTGTACTAAGTTATCTTTGCGCGTGTTTGAAGTGCCGGGATGGGAGGTGTGATGCATCTACGAGTCTGTCTCTTAGTGAGTGAGCAGCAGGAAGACGTGTGGACGGTGATTGGATTTCCGACTCTTAGTCCCTGAATGGATTTGGCAGCCACGGCCCACTTTTTGCCCTACGCACGGCCAACATCGCATGTCCCTCCAGGTAAGCTGGGTCAAATTATTAGTAAACCTATCACACAATGGGCGGTCCATCACCGAAAACGAACATAACTTTGACCACACCCTTGTGAGAGCTTGGCCATGCTTTTCAGACCGATCGAAAAGACGTTAATGGTCAGCCACTTCGTCGACCTCGAGGGTCATATCATTGCTGGGTGCTCTTTTAAGGCTGTCCCCAACCCCGCAGCGGCACTGAATGGAAGAGATGCCTGTGATGCGCCTTTGCCCGGGACGTTATGTTTTGAGTAGATTCTTTAAAGTGTCCACCAATGCTGTTTAAGTCACGGGTGTCGACATTGCACATTTCGTCATTTCCATCTACGCCCCAGCTCCAGCCGCCAGCCAAGGCAACAAAGACTCGTCATGCTCTCAGTTGGGAGAATTTATTCAAAGGCTCAGTCGCTATGGCTTGCTGATTGCCGCAGGCGGCTGTAGTGACAGGACTGTGCCCAGGTGACTTCGTAACCAACCACTGGGCCGTGTTACGAATGCAACAAAGGTGAGAGGCTACTGATTTTCGCTGGCGTAATCCGCTGTTTGTCAACAGCATTTGGTCCGGCCCCGCAGAACGCCACTACTCTGATATCCCAACGGTGATCTTCAGCCATCTATCGTAATTCAAAGTTTTGCAGTTGTTTGACATAGCAGCCCGATTTACGTTGCTGAAACTGGATGCTGGCCAAAGCATTTTCTCCCTAACCCACCTGAATGCTTCGTCAAAGCGTCCGTCTTAGTATTGTGACATCCTAACACGGAGGGGGCTCTATTGAGAAGTCCGGCTTCTTCCGCAACTCAAGTCAGAGGACGCGGTAGGCGATGGTCATCAAACCGCGAGACAACTAAGACGATTCTCGGATTCACTCAGTGGCACTACAATTATTGGACCGGCACAAGGTACGCTTGCCTGTTCAACCAACTCGATCTACCTCCAATGAGGTTTCCTTAGACTCTTATCGCCTTGACACCTATATTGAGGGAGGTGGGTTGAAGTGGGAGAGCTACCACAGTATCGCTATCATCAGTATTCTTCAAAAGATCTTTGCCGTCGTTCTCGGACGGCTTCAATGGACGCAACACAATGACGAGACCAGATAAATGCGGATTCCGAACTGGACGTTAGTGCATCGACGGAACTCTACTATATTCATCAGGGGCCGACGGCTATCTGCCTTGTTGGATTTTATGGATCGTTCAATTCTGTTTGTAGGGACGGTTCTGCCACGGCTAAGGCCTGCCATCACTCCACCTTGGCGATCCGTCCAAACATTGTCATATGCAGTGTAGCGTTGGGAAAAAGACCGCATGTTTTCATGTATCTTCTCTTAAATATTCCATTGGCCGGATTCTCGGAAGAGCTTTACACAGTCCCGGTTGTTTTAGATTCGCGCATGAGTGCTGACGGACTGACCTTAGCTACGCTAGCATTACCACCCTGTTAACGTCGAAGCACGGTTCCTGTGAAACTTTGTGTAACTGATGAATGCTAATGATTAATTAGTCAGTCTGTCCGTCCGTTGATACTGCGAACACGCTGTATCCGAGTTGCATCTCTGGCCACGAAAAGAAGCCTTTCTCAGCCACTAACGACTAACTTGGAGAAGTAAATGGTTCAAAATATCTCTGGTCGTGGTTTTTGCCGTATCGCCAAAGTAAGGGCTGCGCATCGTGGAGGATTGCTGCTCGCGGGGTCTTCGCCAGCCTTAGGAAATGTCTATGGGCTTGTCACAATGCCTCCATCACCGCAAAGATCCGCATGTGATGGACATTTTTCCAGTCGGTCCTGTGCGGCTGCGAATGCTACGCTCTGCACGTGGAAGATGAACTGGTGTTCGGTCACCATTTCATGTGAAGCGCCCGTTGACTAATTTAAGTCGACTTCATCTCGGGTGGTCGTCCAAACTCAAAGCAAAATCACGATGAGACTTCACGTCATCTTACGAAGGCAACTGGAGTGGTTTTGGCACGTTCGCCGCCCGCCCTGTGACTGCAGTTTTACTACCTTTGATATGAAGCCACTGCTGATCTGTAGGCGCAGAAGAAGTCAACTACAGGTCTACTTCCACAGACGGTCAAGACATGTTGCTACTTTCCTACTTGCATCTTCATTGCCAACCGCAGTTTGGGAGACGGACTGTTCAGATCAAGAGGTCGGCGGCAGCAACTGTCCTACCGTGCCATGAGCCAACCGTTGTTTTTTGCAGCGCGAGGAGGGTGCGTGCATGCGTCTGAGCCATTTTCGTCTGCAGCCAACGCCTTTGGGCACGTCGGTCGCCGTCAGACTGTCGCCATGTCGGGGACCGGGTTGCGTCTGGTGGAGACTTTTAGTTGACAAGGTTGTCCAGCCATGTAGTCGTCCGACCCAGGGGCTGAGTCATGTGCGGCAGGGTCATTCATCTGACTAGAGGTGTTAATGTGAAGAAAGGGCAGTACAGGTAAGCTTCCGGGCACAAGACCACGGACGCAGATTGCCACACGCACATACGCCTTCCGTCCCTGGCAAGACTTCACACTGACAGGCACGTGGTCACCGACTTCGGACGGATGGGACGTGCGCGCGCGCGCCTAGTTCTGAGGATAGCCGACCATGGGCGCAAAAAACGAAACTCAAGAACCTACGAACTAATCCAACAGACTGACGCTGACTGCCCTCACGTAGGACAGGATAGGTGGACTGCCGCCAAGGACGGCCTTTACCGCGTGCCCTTGGAAGTGGACTCGGGGACGTGTTGTGCTTGAATAGGAGACCATACCGCACACTGCCCTCCCGTATCCACCACTGAAACCACCCTGCGACAGTCCTCTCTGGCTTGTCTCTCGGGATTCCAAAACACTTCATCTCCGTCATGGAGACGAAGAAATGGACTTCGGCGTGCGCCTCACCAATAATACCGCCCCGGAAACCCTCGAATGTGTACGGTGATCTTCCCCCCCCCCCATTCCCCCTCGTACCTCCACATCTTTACCCGATCCTCCCGCACACAGCCCTTGCGGCATACAGCATGCACATTTGCCCAGTCGTTCTGCCCCTCATGTTGTTAAGCAGGAAACATTCATCGACCGTCCTTTCGCAATGCCTTCGCTCTGGACGCGATTTAGTGTTTTTGTTCAGCCATTGCTGGCGCGCACGCCCGTATTGCCGTTCGTCTTGCTCCCGCGTATGGCTGCAACGGCACAACCGACTTTGTCTCGCTGATTGGTCGGTCATTAACGTGCCTCGTGGTCATGGCAACCAATCGCTTGACAGACACTGCAGGCAACCCACGCCTTTGCGACCCACGCCTCTGTACGCGCGCAGCACACGGTTGCATTCGCTTGCGACCTGCGCGCTCTAGCCAACCAAGTTTTTTTTCCTGTAGTTTTGCTTCACTAACATACGATACGGGGACATCGTGCTTCTCGTTCCGTTCGCACAACCCGTTCATCCTCGTAGGCAAAAGAGGAGCTCCGCGGTTGCTTTGAACAGGCTTTGCATTGAACTGGAAGCTTTGGTTGACAAAATTTTGCCGAGAGCTCCTAATCGAAACGGCGCGCTCTTACTGAAAATTGGAGTCCTTTTAAACTGACTAACAGACCGTTTGCCAGATTATGAGGATTAGTTAAGATCCACTAACTCTCTGTCCCGCAATGGTTAGTTGTTTCTTCTGCGGGGCGCCTACCTAAAATTTGGCGAAGCTGGTGGTTTTCTCTAGAATACCTCACAAAAGCTCCTCAGGCCAGCCTTCAGGCTCCTCTTGGACTTCTGAAGACGAGGAGCTCTAGCAGCGAAGCAGTGGCGCCTTTCAACCCAGTGCCCAAAAGACAACAAACAGAACCCCCAAAGCCGTGACCTCCCATGTAATGCATCGAGTAATTTACGCTGGGCATCAGTGCGCCTCGCCCCATGGCTAGGTTCCGGAGTCATCCAGCAACCCTAGACTGCCGCAACCAGCCATTTTATGAAGACACCATGCATATTTAGCGCCGAGGAATAATTCCGCCTTTTCAGTCGCGGTTGCACGAGCGCAAACCCTACGCGTGGTGTGGTCGAGTGAAGCGAGGAATTTTTCCATCCCCTCCGTGCTACATAAAATTATCCTTTTTCGCAGTGCCATCCTTCTGAGATCTTATGTTTCCGCATATTTACCACGCTCTTTTTTGACAGTTTCGTTTACTCGCAGCACAGTTTTCCGGTTCGGGCCAGTACGCAGCACTCACGTTCACGGCCACCACCCTGAGTGTTGCTGGTTTCTATCGCATCCGCACCAACCGTCTGCATGAATTCCCTGATTCAGCTGTAGACTAGGCCTATTCGGTAATACGCGGACATAGATGCTGCCAGCAAAATTGAGCAAGGACACCGCTTGGTAACCCTGTTTTATTGGCGTAGTGTGCCCTCCCGTAGGTGAAATACGGTTTTAAGTCTGAAATCTTGCCGGATTTTCCTTGCCTCCACACCCCCCTGGAGCAGAAAGGCAAACCTGCTTACGAATCAGATGTCGCCGTGTTTGCATATTCCGGCTATATTTGAGTTGACTCCCAGAAGTTTTCCTGCTGGACATTTTTACACCGTTTTGACGATTTCCTACTGGGACACCGGACGATCAGGGACGCCGTTAGTTTACACTTGAGCCAGTTTCTTTAAGGGCTTCTCGGAGATTATAAATGGGCGAATGAGAGTGCGTTGAAGGTGTTTGACTGACAGTTCCAGGATTTGAAATTTATCCGCTGATAGGAGTATTTCATCTGAGCCGAGCATTTTCGGTGGGTTTACGCCCATAGACTGTTTAGATGGTTGTCACTACACTTTTCATTTCGTCACAGTCCACATCTCTCCGGATTTAATCTGCCATGGTAGTCAGCTAGTCATTCCGTTCCTCTCCCTGCCTTTCCTGTAGACGGCGAGCTCATTGGGAGAATGCAGTTTCATACTGTGTCGTGATGTTGTCCCCGTGGGCTCTATCGATTTGGTTTTCTCGTATTTCCCGACCGTTATCGAGCACTTCTGACCTTTTCAGCCTGCAGAGATCCAGTGACTTTGACATTAGATGGTGTGCACGGCTTTGCGCAGTCTCTGCCACTTCCGCCTAACGTCTTCTTCCTCCGAGATTTGTACTCAGCTGAGGTTGGCGTTTAGTGTGCTGGGGGCTTCCCGCCAGCATTCAACCACGCCCAGTACTGTCACGTTTAACTTTGTTGGTGTTGCGTTTACAGCCTCATTTAGGTTGAGCAGTCTCCCTCCGTTTTTCCTGTTCCGATTACATGATTTATTGCTTGCCGCCATGTGGCCACAGGCGATCACCCTCGAGGTTGGAGCACCTTTTAAATGAACTCAAATCTTTCCGATCACACCCGACCAAATGCGACCTCGTAGTTCATTGGTGGAGCGTTGAATAAAGGGACGCACGTAGCCATCGGACCACCTCTGATGGGGGATTGGGACGCGACTAGATCATGCGGTAAAATAGGCCTGAAATGGTCATCCCAGTCCCGTCCAGTCCCTTTTTGTCGGAATCACTTTCTAGTAATCTGTCCTCCGGGTGCCGTTTTCAGTTTCAACTTGACATGGGTTCCGCATTTACAGGACGACGTCTCAGCTCGCGAATACTTGAGCACAAACGGGCCGTTCGCAGAGGCGACCCACTATCACATGTCGCGACTCACACGCTGGAGGAAGGCCATGAGTTCGACTTCGCCAACACGCAGATATTGGCGCGATGCGGCGACAAGACGGGGCGAGAACTGTTGGAGGCGTGGGTGTCGGACACCAACTTTACCAATAGACACATTGCTTTGCCTGCGTGTTATCACACCCTCCGCCCACGCAGCCAGCTGGCGCAGCTCACATCACCGCGAAGTACAAACGGCGTCACCACGCCGGGGGACCATTGTGGACCAAGCGGCACAAACCAGACCTAGCCACGGACGTAGTCCACCCCCCCCCCTTTATGACACAACGATATAAATGTTCACACGTTGCTGCACTCTAGCAGTCTCTGATGATGAACTCCAGTTCGAGTTCGAAATCTAAGGCCAATAAATCTACCGTGCCAGTGATCGTGCCTTCGTCTTCTTTTAAACAAGAACCTGGTATGCGCATATTCCCTTCCATTCGTGAATCACTTTCTAGTAACCATTCTGTCCTGGTGCCGTTTTCAGTTTCAATTCGGCATGGCTTCCGTATTTACGGGGTCATCTAACACAAAAGTGTCTAATTGCTGCCAAGTTATCATGCCCAAACTTTGTAGCTTGGAAGCTTTTTGACTCCTATGTGTTTGGTGGCTCCCTAAAACAATGATCCGCGATTGCTGGCCTCGAAAATGTCCGTCTCCAAAAATTAGCCAGTCAAAAGAGAGCTGTCTGCATGACCAGGCTACATGAAATTATTTTGCAAAACGCCGTGTATATATTCTTCAAGGCTAGAAGTAATGGAGGTCTTGAATATCGTCAGCGATGGAGCGCAGTGCGGCACTCATTCACGGGGGCCGATAAAAAAAAACGTACAGTTCGGCGGAAATGTAAACACGTCTGTCAGGAGTAATCGTCGACCACGCTATTGGTAACGGACTGGCAAATCGATATGCCCGTTGGCTGAGTCAACGCTCCAATGCCACGTTTCATCCAGCCAGCGCGAAGCCCGGTCGTCTGATTGGTTCAGCACTGCCACGCTGTTGGACCAATTGGTCTTCCTGTCTAACAGCAAGTCTGTGCTCCTGCTGGTGAAGACTGCCTGTGCGTTGCTGACAGAATACCATACTCAGTGGTTTGGTCGAAAAAGGGTAGTGGTAGTAAAACTTGTGAGTTTCTCTCAAATAATTTGACGCAAGAAAGAGTTGGGCAACAATCGGGAGATGGCACCCAAAGAAATCTGGCTAACCAAAGCAGCCTGTCTTACGGGACAGGTAGTAATAAGGGTTTTATGGGTGGTAGCTGGTTGGGCTGTACGATACTAGCCGATGTGAAGCCCTATTTGAACAGGTGTATGATCGAAGCTGGCCCGTTCTCCGTTCCGTTATTACAAAATGGGTCGCCAAAGGCAGTATCGTGGTAACGAACGAGTGGAAGGTGTATAATAGCCTTCCCTCAGAAGGTTATCTACATTTCTCTGTTAACCACTCAAAGAACTTCAAGGACCCTACCACCGGACGTCACACCAATGCCACTGAGGCATACTGGAGTAGACTGAAAAGAAAACTCCATGAGGGAGGCCCTGTATGGGGTCAAGCTGTGTGGGCTCACATAGAAGAAGTACAGTATCGTCTTTGGTTTGGCCTCAATGCCATCTCTTTGACAGATGCCTGCGAACTGTTGCTGTACCATTTCGTGCAGACTTATCCTATTTAAAAGTGATTTTGTTTTGTAATAAACTGCCATAATGTGGATGTATGCCATATATTCAGATGTACGTGTATAACGATGGGGAAGGCTGGGTAACAGCGACCATCGTCCATGTAACCTCCTGCGATGTTCGTTCGGCCAGCCCATGTTAGGCCGTCGCGGAAAGTCCAAGTAGTGCGTGAAAGTAGGCCTGTGACCGTTGATATAGCCTGAAGGCGTTTGAGTCAACTGTTAAAGGTATTATTTCTAGGTAACGGGTTTTTTGGGTGCCATCTCCCGACTGTCACCAAGAGTTGAGATCCTTATAGCCAGTATGAAGACCAGTAGATTGAGCAAATATGACCAAATCACTATGCATATTGGAACCCAGAAAACGTAGGCAATGCGCAATACCGTCGTTCTGGTGTAGGTTAACTGTGGAAGACAGTATGGAAGTAGGTCGGATGTGGTTCGGTAGTCCCACCTGAAGTAAGCAAACCCCAGTCACCTTTAATACGGGACCGGCGGTAATAGGGGTTTTTACAGGTGAAACCGGGGAACGCGCAGGCAAAGAGATCAAGTAGTTGCATGCAAAAGAATATCTATTGGGAGTGCGTGGTTGTACTTTTAATGGTTGAGAAATAGTTGCGCTAATCCCAACCTCTTATCCTAAACCCCGACCGCTAACCCTAACCTTTAACCGTAACCCCTGACCATAAGCCTTAACCCCAACCCCAACAGTATTGTGTCCATCAGGGGGGGCTACCAAAGAACATCTTACCTGAAGGTATTTAAAAGTTGAAAGTAGTGGTTAGATAAAATAAAGAACTTGTTTGTAGTGGTGGAATAAGTTTTCAATGAGTTTTTTTCCGAAATTTCAGGCCATCAGCTGCAGTAGTCAAAAAAGTTGGACGGCTGCAAGTACATCTTTGAACGAAAACGAAAGAAATAATGGAAGAGATGCACTCGGAGAAGGTGACGCAGTCTTGTCAGGATAGGGGACTACTACCAACTGTGGTAGTCTGCCAATGCGGACCCCTACTGTGACAGCAAGTCCAAAGTCGGCACATGGACGGATGTGTCTTCGGGTGTGGCCGGTACAGAAGAAGGAAATCCCTCAGATGGGGCCCGATATTCGAAAAGAGTTGGCTAACAATCGAGACAGTCATGAAAAGGTGACTGTATTTTTCACAGAGAACCAGTGTGACGGATTGGCGTATGCCGCACAATAGCTGCTGAGTGCTATGCACTCTGTCGCAACACTTACTCCGCTGCTCTCATGAGGGAGACGAAACTGATTGGCCTACCGGCGGTAGGACTGGGTGAAACGCTTATCAGCCAGCGTAAATGCAACGCTAGGAATCGCAGAAGACAATGGTGGCCGGTGAGCATGTATGACACCAAGAGGAAGGAGAGGGTCTTGTTTGAACAGGTCAACGACAGGAGCTGGTCCGCCTTGAAAAAGTGGATGGCAAAGGGCAGCATCGTCGTTACTGATGAGCGGAAGGCATAAAAACGCCTGCCATCAGAGGGGGTTACGCCCAGTTCACGGCCATTCCAACTACCAACAAACACACCAGCTCAATCGAAGCCAATTGGAGCCAATTAAAAAGGCAGCATCACGAAGGAGGCCCAGTGTCAAGCCGGGCCATATGGGCGCACATTGCTGGGTTGCAATATCGCCTATGGTTTGGCCTAAAGGAGGCGTGGGAAGTCTTCCTGTTGCAGTTGACACAATCTTACAACGACACTTCAATGCAGTCAAGCAATTTGCTGGTCGAATTCTAGATGACGTTGCCCATCCCCTACATTCCGATCTTATGTCTGCTAAGTCTTCCCCCCCCCGATGCGCCGCAACTTCCGTCTTATATCCTGTCGCCCATCGGCTTATCGAGCTTCTGTATTGCCATTCCTAGCGCGCTATCTTACGTGCGAAGAGACAGAAATACAGAAGCTAAGACTTGAACTATCCCCATAATAATCGTTTCTTTGTGTTAAAATTTGACTCTTGAATAATATGTTAACTTATTTACTGCCCATAGTGAATGGAGCCAACTTCTTGCTGAAAATTTTGAACATATGATTTCAAAATAAAGCGCATTCCTCTCTCTCTCTCTCTGGAACGGAAACCTTCACGGCAGAACTGAACAGTTTGTAAGTAATTTTCTTTACATAAAGGTAATGCAAGCTAACTGTCGTGTAATTGCTAAGACAAGGAAACTGCAAAAAAACAATCGTTTTCTCGGCTGTTTATCCTGAGGTAGCGAGAAGTATATGTTGTGTGCAGTGTAATAAAGGTCTAGGTGAAACCCTTCGGGAAAGAAATAAGTAGAGCATCGTGTTCAAGCGATGCTGACAGCACTCGGTTCAAGGTGGGAACCGAGGCGATACGGTTTCTTCTAAAATCTCCGAGCCAAGGTCATGGAGAGGAAGGGTAAATTGAAAAGCAACGTCTGCTAAGCGAGGTAATAACCTATTAGAATCAGTTTTGAAAAGCGTACTGCCAGGTAGCTTCGCGCGAGTGAGTGGTCGGTTCGATGACGAAGCTTGCAGCCTCCAGTATACGATGAGGACCGAAGCGATACGGTCGCTTCTCAGCACCCATAAGGAGTTGGAATGACATGGTCGGCCACGAGGAGGGCGTGCGGCGACAAACCAACAAGAGAGGAAGGGCGACACGAGAGGCAGCCTCCATGTATAAAGTAATAATAAACAAAATACGAGCTACTTAAACAAGTATAATTGCCGGTTTTGTATGTAGCTACAGCTTGGGGTCCCCCGCCCTACCATTGCCGTTTTTTATTTTTTCAAGGACATGGTCATCACAGACCTTCGTTGTGGACGCCCACTTTCGTTGAAAGTTACGTTTGATGCTCCGGCGAGCCTACGCACACGTGGTCGAGACCGCCGTCATCAGGAGGATTTTGATTATCGTGGACTACAAGAACCCTATTTTCATTTTATCGACTGGATACCGGGAAAACAGGGACGCCCCCAGCCTCAGAGGGCAGGCAGTAATGTTACGGGGGAAAATTCCCCTGATGCACAGAGAATGGTGTGCTTACGATAACACTAGCTTATTATATTTCGATTTTTTTAGTCATAAATTACAATCTCGCCGTGTGACCTTGGGAATGCTTCTGTTTTGGCGGCGTCGCCGCCCAGGGCATCAAGCAAACCCGTCATCGCTGGGACCAACTGTATCTCGGACTGAACATTAACGGAGAGTATTAACCCAACTTCCTGAATAGCGTTTTACCAATCCTCGAGAAAAGTCATGTGCTCGACTGGCTACCACGCTGCATATTACACAAATTTCTAGAGGAGGATTATCGGGGAGTTTTTCAAATGTCCCTGTGTGCTTATGTGTTCAGTTGCCTTCATGAACATACGGCCCATTTGGTCCGAATTTTAGTTTTAGCATTTCTACTTTTCTTTAAAAAGTACAGTACCTCTATGCAACTAAATTACACTTTCTGTACTTGACTTGGGGTCCTCATCTAAATGAAGATTGTGTTCTTTTAATTGGGAGCTTGTGTCGATAAATTCCAGTTAGTTTCGGAAGCAATGGGAATTTTTCATGAATTTACTACAAGTTTGGCCACCTACTGTGCACTTGTGGGTGACATAAAAAATCCGAAAATGGTCGTTGTAGGACTCTTTATGCCAAAGTACGAAGAAGCCTCAGGCAGCAGCACTCAAAACCGAAATATGACCTTACAATGGCACGATCAAAAGCAGTGCAGAGTTCTATAAGCCAGATCCAATAATTACATTTTACGCGCATATTTCCTGGGAAGTGTGGTTGCATGAAGCCACATGGAATTGTTCTGCATACTAGTCAGTTCCTTCAAACTCGCCGTCGTCAACTGGGCAGACGACTAACAAGCTAGGAATGGCCATTCCAGCCAGTAGTGCCGTTGTGCCTATGATACTAGCCGCCGAGCGGGGCTCAAGATTGAGCCCCAAGGCACAACGGGACGAGTGAGTCCTGTAACGCGATCGGTGAGCGCTCCTCTAGTACCCTCACGTGAGAGTCAGCCAGCGCCAACTTGGGGTACTCGCCACTGTTCACAAAAGAGCACTAAATGAGAGATCCCCCTTCCTCCTTGCGGATGCTCAGTACCGATTGGCCACATTCTCGCTCACTGACTTAGTTTTTTTGCTGTACAGGAAAGCACCACCACGAAGGTGATGGACGGTGGAGCTAGGCTGGCAGCAGAATAAGACCGTCTCTGTTGGACCGCATTCCCCGGCCGATGTATATGGCGTTCCATCCGCCGAGTCCCATGTTGCAGTCATACACGTCGCATTAGTGGGCGCCACCAGTGTGTTGCAGTCTAAAATATGAGGTGGGGCAAGAGGCGCCTCAGCTCAAGCTTTAGGGCTGGCCGTGCGCTAGCGGCATACCTGAATGTAGGTACACTTGTCGTGGCTATCGACTGATAGGCGGACTTCAGAAAGCGCGATGTTTCAGAGATTGGATACTTGCTGTGGACAGCCATCATAGCGAACCTGGCGTCATTGGTCAAGATCTCGCTGCCTCAAGGTCATTCTCCGCTTGAAGCGAGCCGTTTCAGACGCGCCAACCCGAGGCTACTCGACCGACTTCAGCTCGGACACACTTGCGTCGGCGCACGGTCGCAACTGCCCATGCGCCACTTGAGCGCAGCAGCCCCTGCAAACAGTAACATAAGCCGCTGGGACACTATTCCTCGGCAAATGCAATACACACCGACTGGAGACCAATTGAGCTTGGCTCACGAGCCTCCAAAGGCGGCTGCCGCCACTATCTCAGGGACTCTCAGGCACTGACTGGACGCAGTCAACACCAGCCCTGGCTTCGCCAATGGCCACTGCCGCCTGAGAGGACAACTCCGGATTCTGTGCATAATAAACCCTTCATTCTGGTGCCTTCTGCCTTTTCCAACAACTGGGGATTTGACCTGTCGACAGTGGTGCACAGACCGCACACTCTAACTGCTGAGTCGCTTATTTTGGTAACAGAGAGTCTCAGAGGCGACTTGGGATTTTGTAGCATTACTGACAGAGACAAGGGGGACAGGGATGGTCATTTATGACTCATTAGCCCTCGTCAGTCAGCCATACTCAACCCTGAGATGTTCACCCTCTGGAGCTCTTTCGCTTGTCTTTGTCAGTAATGCTGTGCCGCTGTGCAGCTGCTGGCGGGGCTAGAAAGAGAACCCGAAGGCACAACGAGACAAGTGAGTTCCGTAGCGCGATCGATGAGCGCCCCTCTCCCCGCCCCCACCATTAAGTTTTTATGTCGGCTGAGCAACCCATAGTGCAAGTTCCGCTAATGGCCGAGTTCGTCCTGACAAAAATATCTTGGATTATGCTATGCGGTATTTACAGTAGGTGGGCTAACTCATAAAATGTAAACCGAAATTTCGAAATGCGTTCTTGTTTCGAACAGATTACAAAAGTAGGGTTGTACAGCTTATCATTTTGCAGCATAATTTTATAATAATCCAGTTACCCCGTGGTGTCGACTTTCGAATGAACTTATTTCCGACGGCGTGCAAAAACTGCTCTGCAAAAATGACTGCTTGAGTAGCACTCAATGTTCTCATTGATTTTCGATGTCCTTGAAAATTCAATTATATTTCATGCATAAGAATATTCACTCTTTTGTTCATTCGGTAGAAAATTACGCCTTCTTTACATTTTGCACTCGAGAGAAGGGTACATTTCGGTTTTAAAAAAACGTTTCTAATTCCCGAATAATTTTGAACCCGACCTGCTGTTACACTTGCATTCAGGGCTTCAAAACTACTAGCCGTATATTTTCCGTGTACGGAAAACCACGCATTTCTTTACGGTGTTAAGAGGAGACCATATGGGGTTCTTAAAATTAAACAGTGGATTTGAACGATATTGCTAACTTTACAGGCCACGTTCGTAAATGCACATACATGACGTTTTATGCACAGCCATTTCACGGTATAAGAAAATCTGACAATTAGAAACTTTTGAAAGTGAATTATTTCCTTCTTTCGAGTATAAAATTGGAAGAATACGTATTTTTTAACCGAAAGAGTGAAATAATGCATATTTTTATTCATGTTTTCCATGAAACATAATGGCATTTTCAAGGGCACTGAAAATCAATGAGAAAATTTCATGCTGATTAAGTAGTATAGTTTTTTTATGCAGTCAGTAAGAAGTTTATTCGAAAGTCTACACCCTGAAGTAACTGGATTATTTTAGAATTAAGCTATCCGACGATTACTTTTACAATCCTACTTAATTAATCGTTTCGAAACGAGAACGCATTTCGAAAGTTCAATTGACATTTCATGAGTTAGCCCGCGTACTGTATCATTACAACGTTTCTTAGGCAGTCCTTCTGAATCAAAACACACGTCATAATTTCGGCCAACAGTTCATGAGATAGCACATCTACTGAATTATTCAAAATCTGTCAAAATATCAATGAATTACATGAGCCTAGTTGTCATCTAGTGGATTCTGGGTGAATTACTTAGGAAATCCTGCTTGGGCAGTCAACTTACTGTATCAGATTTGGTGGATTCCAGACGTTGCAGTAGGTTGGGTGGGTAACTTGACCCAGATGTGATTAAACTTGCGTCGTCCGGCGGCGGGGCCTCGTAGCTCAGGTGGTTAGAGCGTTGGCTGTACTTAAGCCTTCCCCCTTACTGAGTGGGTTCGAATCCCACCGAGGCGCCGAGTTTTTCACAGTTGGGTCAATATGAATTATTCAAAATCTGTCAAAATATCAATGAAACCCAAATTAGTTAATTTCGACAAATGTGCGAGTTCGATTATTCCTCACCTTATTATGCTGCCTAGTCCGTTTACGGCAGAGCCATAAACGGTGGAAGGTTCAGTGTACATTGCCCCGCTGATGGCCTAACCAGAGCGCATATTAGACACTGGCCGTCGAAGCAAATCCGAAAGAACGCACTCCACCCCCTTATACGTGATGTCTGCGGTGCGGCCGAAATTATTACCCCAGACCGAGGGGGTGGCTGCCACACGTCTAGCGAATCTATGGCATTTAAGTAGTGAGTGCGCTCAGGGCACCACAATAGTCACAACCCAGTCCCGCTGTAGGGAAGGGGAAAGACACCAGTAGTAGTGGTGTATGGAGGTCTGGTTGTGGCCAGAGCCCTCCAAGCGCGACCGGCTCCGGGTCACTGCAGGCACCTGTCCGCTAGGATGATGTGAACGACTATGAATAAGCGTCCTGGTAGAGTCAGTCGGCGTCTGCCTTGTCCGGTTATTGGGTGATAGCCTGGTTTGTGGACTGAGGCTGCATGTGCTCATGTTTTGGCCGCCCAGACGTCTTTATTACAGGACTCCTAGCGCGGCATGGATGCCATAGCGGCGGAAGACTTGCTCTCGCTTAAGGTGCTGCAAATCCTCTCCTCTACGCACAGAAAACGTTTGTACATCCTTGGAACTGCTGTGTCCCAAGAGCACTCCTACTGGCTACCAAGACGGTCTCCTATCCGCACCGTAACCAATACAATGAGACCGTAAAGGCTGTCCTGTGCCTCTCGGCGCCCTTCCACCCCCTTGTATGCCTTCCTATCGCGTGAATGGTCGGCGCACGCTCATTGCCATTGGCTCACCCGTTCGCGCGTCACCGTCCAACCAGATCGCAAGCCAGCGAATGACCCTGGTAGTAGGTAATCGATAAATTACGTTCGCCCAGGCCGACTGTCGTAAGGACTACAGGCGGTTTATGTTAGCGGTGATTCGGCCAGCCGAATGGTCGAGACAATAAGCACCCCCTTACTAATAACATATACCAGCACGTTGAGCCCGGTCTGCTGTCAAGAGATTATTGCGCAGGTCGCCAAAATCCTCTGGGATATGCGTTTTTAACGGGCGGTAACAGAGGAAGTTGCCAATATATAGGGTTAGCATATTTTTACGTTTCTCCTTCCGTCTTTTTACTTTTTCGGAAGCTGTCCTACCACTTTCGCCAGGATTCCTTCTGAATCATTGCTTTTCACTGTGAAAACCCTTGGGAGTAGTCTAAATCTGAGCGCCTGGGCAACACGAAACAGGCAGTTTCTACCTTGCCATCGGATCGGTGAGGCTATGCTTCCAAGTCAATTAATGAACGCTATCGCAACCAAACGAACAATGAGTCCGTGGTTCGGTGTCAGGGCGTTTGGCGTGACGCTTAAGGACCAGAGAGTTTTAACTGGATTCCGAGGGTCATTCAGGCCTGGAGTTGTGACATGGTCGGCTGATGACGGCTGGCAAACCCCGAACGGCCGCTCCAGTCTCCTTGTCTCTGTTACAATTTTTAGGATTGTGAATACAACCATTGTCCATCTAGATGAAGGGGAGACGTCGGTTAGATTTCAATGATTCACAAAGTGGTTAGTGCGCGAGACCTAGCCATGCATAGCTAGCACGTTGATGTTTTGACGTCAGACAACTATATTCAAAATCCCTGTTGGGATCGCTGGTAGAATAAACCTGACTTTAAGCAATGAGCCGCATCTCGTCCATTGGTATTAGAAATATTCAGTCAAATATTCGCCAATCCGTCCTGGCCTCAGGGCGGAATATGGGCACCCCATTTTGCTTTACGGCCCCAATCTACAGCCATCACACGCCTGACGTTGTCGTACACCTGACTATCACCACCGTCCGAAGTGACCATATCAGTCCCTCCTCCTTATCGAAGTTTCCCCCACGTTATCGATTGCTCAGCGCTGCGTGGCCACCTACGAAGCTTCAAGGCAAAACACAGTCAACCGTTTTCCGTCCGACAAGCCAAGACAAATTGTTATTGATCGTATGGATGTAGTTGCGCAGGTCAGCGTACACGGACGGCGGGTTAGCACGCCGATCGATCGAACCCTTAAAAAGTTCCAGGTTTTGCTCGGGACAGGGCTTTTTTAAAGCCTACCCGCGGGAAATTTGTCTGAAAATCAGAATAAGTCAGTGCATGCCACTTTCATACAATTTCGAATACTTCCGAATGCAACTAACGAGGTGTGAGTTTGTGATGCAGTCACAGACACGATGCAGACCGTCTGACCTCACATCATAGAGCTCAGGACCAAACAACCACAATGGGCTTAAGAAGGCCACACAGAGACAGCCCGACGACGAGTTTACTCGGCGAGGAAGAAAAATAATCGCCAGACCGACCACCCGACAAAGGTTTAATCCCCTCCCCCCGACGAAGTGGTAAGGGCGACCAAAGCGACATGCCACTTCAGTTCCTGGTAGATTGAGTGCATTTTACGTTTTGACGATGGCGGGCCGATCAAGCTCTTCGAAACGTCGGCAGCTAAATAAACCAGTTCCAGTGAGCTCGTCTCATTCCTCAAAACACTGACCCGGATCTCTCAACTCTGCCGATCTGAGTACACCTAATTCCCCATTGTTCAATTTCCGACGCGTCAGCAGTAAAATATGCGGATGAGCTTCGCCGACTGGAAAAATAGGGCATCTGATAACTAAAGCCGCATGTTTCTAGTCTGGCCGGCTCAGTAGCTGACTGGCCGCCTTCATCCTTGCTTGGGAACTGTGGACAATGACGCCAAACATTGCCAACAAAACACTAGGTGCCAACTTTTTGGTTATTGGATTGTGAAGTGAGTTTGATGCCCAATTATGCTCAAGGCACTAAAGAAACATTATTTGCCGCGAGGACTACACGTTATTTTAGAAAAAAGGACAATGCTATTGCCTCAAATGGAGGATAAAGCGCCCCTCATAAAGGCAATTTAAACGATGGAATTCTTCATACTCAGCCTCCTTTTCGTTTTAATCTTAGCCAAATGGTCAAGTGGGTTGATTTGCATGCGGTTAACTGCTGTGTTGTTTAGCGCGCTGTTGTGATGCACCGCCTGCCGACAAGTTTGAACTCCTGGCATTCACAGACTCCTGAACATATTCCCTGCCAGGAGCCTTTTCAAGAGGGATTAAACTGCGCAACTGTTTGCCCAAGCACCGGACAACTACTTTAAACCAACATTCAGCGTGTAGAATTTTTGGTAGAGATCAACGTACTTTCTAATTTCCCTATCGGAATCTTTATTTCAGTAACTGATTGTGAGGGAAGCCATACACCCTTCAATGCAACAAAAACAGGATTTTATGCTTGATAATTGCATAGACTAAACCACTACAGACAACTTAGTAGTCTCCACAGTATGTATGCTATCTCATGAAGTGCTGACCGAAATTCTGAAATGTACATTCGATTCGAAAAGATTATTTAAGTAGGATTGGGAAACTCGCTATCACGCATCATAATCCAAGATATTTAAGTCACACCAAGATACCGGCTTCCGAATGAGCTTCTCTCGGCGTCTGAAAAAACTAAACACCAAACCCAATGAGTATGTAGCGGCACAGCAGTGGGAATGTGTCTAATTGTCAAAAGTGGTGTGGTCGACTAGACAAAGATTCCCAATCAAAAGTCGGGGAAGACAGTTTGAGTTGGACAACCTTTACTCTTTCGGAAGTGCGTACGCAAAGGCTCTGCAGGCAGTCGCCGCGAGCGCGCTCTCCGGGCCAGTTGTTGTCTGTGTCCGCCTTTGAGGCGCTGAGACCCAGCGCGTGTGTGCGCCTTTCGTCGTTTCTGCGTCCGCCAGCCAATCAGAGGGGGGGCAGCGTTGATTGGCCTGGAGCAATCGCGAGGCTAGTGACAAGCCCCGCGCGTTCCAGCAGTGTATCGACAAGGAGTGTGAGGCGGACAGGAAGGCAGCGTGACAAAGGAGGAGGGCAAGGAGACGCGAACTGCCACAGTACCCCCAGGCTAGAACGAAGGCGGCGAGTAGCGATGCCGAAGGAATTGCTGATGTCCAAAAACATGAGTAACCAAGCGTTTAGGAACATGGCGTCTACTAGGTATGATATATACAGGGGGTACATGGGTACAGTGAGTATGGCTCGCGGTTACAGGGTTGTTGATTGATGAAGGGGTAGTTGCAGTTGGGGGTTGCGGACATGGGGACAGGGGAAGTATACGGGATGGAGGGATAGAGGGTCGGGGAGGTGGAGCAGGGGGTAGGGGACCACAGGGCTCATCCAGGACGGCAGCTTTGAGACGGTCCACGCTCACGACCTCCTCGCGAGTTCCGCGTTGGATGCGGAAGTTGTTCGTCCTGCGAAAGAGCACCCAGAATGGGCCGTCATAGGGCGGTTCCAGAGGCCGGCGGACTCGATCACATCGAAGGTAGACGTGAGAGCACGTTGCCAAGTCCTTCTTGAGATAAGGCAGAGAGGCGGAGGACCTGGGCAGAATCGGAGAAAGTGTCCACATAAACCGTCCGAGGCGATGCAGGAGGTTGGTGGGATCCTCAACTGCACCTCGCGCAGTTGGCGAGATCATCTCATCGGGAGTCGGACGGTGGCGCCGAACACCAGTTCAGCTGCGGAACAGTCAAGGTCCGGCTTGAGAGCGGAGCGGATGCCCAAGAGGACCAGGGGAAGGTGATCCGTCCAGTTCTCCGGATCGGCCGCGGCGCGTAGGGAGGCCTTCGGCTGGCGGTGAAACTGCTCGACCATCCCGTTAGCAGCCGGGTGATAGGCTGTAGTGCGGATGCGAGTACGGTCTAAAAAAGGAGAGAAGAGACTGGAAGAGGTTAGATGCAAATTGGGCACCGCGGTCAGCTTTTAGCTGCACAGCGGTGGATAATCTGTGCAGTCTGTGATCTACAATTATCAAGTCAAATATCAAATTGGAGGGAGAAGACAGAAGGCACAAGAATGAGGAGTTTATTGTGCACAGAACCCGGAGTTGTCCTCTCAGGCGGCAGTGGCCACTGGCGAAGCCAGGGCTGGTGTTGACTGCGTCCAGTCAATGCCTGAGAGTCCCTGAGATAGTGGTGGCAGCCGCCTTTGAGGCTCGTGGGCCAAGCGCAAGTGGTCTCCAGTCGGTGTGTGTTGCATTTGCCGAGGGGTGGTATCCCAGTGGCTTAAGTTGTGGTTGCAGGGGGGACGTGCGTTCAAGTGGCCGCATGGGCAGCTGCGGCTGTGTGGACGCAGGCATGTCCGAGTTGTCGGTCGTGTGACTTCAGGTCAGCGCGTCTGGAACGGCTAACTGCAAAAGAGTGAATGACCTTGAGACAGCGAGGCCCTGAACAATGACGCCAAATCAGTCATGATGCCTGCCTGCTACAAATACTTAATTAGTATTGCGTTTTGCAATTGATTTTCATAGCTCTTATAAATTCGAGCACATCGCATAGAAAACACGCACAAAAGTGTTGCCTCTTATGCTCATTTGGTAGCAAATTATGTCGTCTTCAAACTGTATACTTAAACAAAATGCATTTCCCAGCTTTAAGAAAGTTTCTAGTTATGAGACTTTTTGAAACCGTGCTATGTTCATTCATACAGCATCACGTCATCATGTTTATTAATGCTAATTTCAAAGTGTATCACCTGGTCCACATCCACTGTACGATTTCATTATTGCCATATGACTTCCACCAAACAGCATAAAGAAGTATGTGATATTCCTTTGATGGAAGGTTCATACCATGTGATTTGAAAACCATGAATGCAAGCATAACGGCAGGTTGAGTTCAAAACTGTTCGGGAATTGGACAGGGGCAACGATCGGGTGACGGACACCAAACACGCGCGACCAGCCAAAGGTGCCTGTCTAACGGGAAAGGTGGTAACAGGGGTTTTACGGGCGGGGCCTACGTATTTATAGAGGAATGGTAGAATAAGTGAAGATAATTATTAAATTTGGTTTTCGGACGGAAATGTTTTAGTGCATTGACATATGGCAATCGCAATTAAGCAGGACAATTAAAAAAATAAACATTTGAGATCAGATGTGGTTATGTAGCCCCACCTGATGGACACAATACTGTTGGGGTTAGCGGTTAGGGTTAGGGTGTGAGGGCTAGGGTTAGAGGTTAGGGGTTAGGACAACGATTTCTTAGCTAATCGAAGTACAACCGCGCATTCCCAATAGCTTTTCATTCGCATAAAATTACTTGACCTCCTCGCCTGTCGGTTCCTCGGGCGCACTGGTAAAAACCCCTATTACCACCGGTCCCGTATTATAGGTGGCTAAGATTTATTAACTTCAGGCGTGACTACATAACCACATCTGACCACATTAAGTGTCTATAACGATCGCTTCTCAGCTCTCCGAGCTGAGGTCATTGCAGATAATCCACCTGACTGTCTACAACGACCGCTTCTCAACTCTCTGGGCTGAGGTCATTGTAGGTAATTCACCAGGCCGTCTGCAACCGACAGCCCAACCTTGAACAATGAAACGCCAAACCGAAGTAATCGTGTCGAACTAAAACTCATTTAAAAAAGTATAATAGGTTTTTTGCATTTCATAGATGCCTGGGGTCCCTCTCCCAATCCTTACCTGGACAAGTTTTTAAAAACTGAAAGATGCTCGCTCTTTAAGAGAAGAATTTTAAGAAGACGTAATATGCCACCAAATGAGTACAAGAGAGGACATTTTTGCACGTTTTCTATAAAATATAATCGAATTAACAGAAGCATGGAAAATCAACAGGAAAATTTCACACTAGTCAAGTAGTCACTGTTCGCAGAATGCAATTTTTCAGACGGCTGAAAACAAGCACATTCAAAATCCGACATCCTGGTGTGAGTGGATTACCTTGTGGTTATGGTGCAAGATAACTACTGTTAGGACCCCTAAGTAATCTTCTCGAATGGAAAACATATCTCAGAATTTCAACTAACATTTAGTGAGATAGCACATCTACTGAATGTCCTCCCGTCTTACAGAAATTTTAAAAGCAAAGGACAATCAACAAAGTACTACTACGTTGTAGCTGTTGTTGTTTTACATCCTTTTGTCGTTGTATGACATTTTCCATTCCGCGTTGGCAATTAAATTGGGTCTTGAATAGTGGAACTGTCATCAAGTCGTTGTTCCAGTCTAATGGTTTTTAGTAAACTAAATTATTTCATAACCATTGAATAATACTGTATGAACCAAACTGTGTCTTCTTTTGAAGATTGGTAATTTCTTTAATGTAGTTTAACCTCAGTGGATGCAGTGTGGGCGGTTCTTCTGCTACAAAGATTTTGGTACGCGGTTCGTGACCTTTCTTCGAATGACAGTTCGACCATCGGTTTCGATGATGTCCACCGTGTGCCCCACAGTTGCAGCAGCAATGGGAGCAGGGACGGTGACTTACGCAGGGATTTATAGTGCCGGTAGACTTGCGTAGCATCTACCTACACTCTCTCCTCCTCCCTCGTCCGAGCCCGGTGTCAAGACAGAGCCAAGAATACCGGAGACGAGGGAGGCCGCAGGTGGATGGCTCGTACGAATCCTCAGCTTGGCGTTCCACCACACCCCCTGGTCCACACAACAAATGACCAGGATTTCAACCAACACAAGAGAGATTTGGAGGCTGATACGGCCGAAGCCGCACCTGGGCGTGCCGCCAACGCCTGGCTCGGATCCCACACTGTGATGAGAGTGCCATAAAGGCCACATTAAAAAGGAGCCATTGCAGCCTGACTCTCAGACCGCCTCCGGTCAAGGAGGAGGTCCAAGTTACCCCGTCAGTTGGCAACCTTCCAAGCCACGGCTTTTAGCGCACCGTGATAGCTTCAAGCGCGTCAGATTTTTTATAGTGAGGAAAGTGCGCTGAGTCGTCGACCTCACTCTCCCTTCCCACTCCCACACCCAGGCGCTGTCCGAGCCGGTCAGCAGACTGGAGTGGGGAGTGAGCGCGGTGGCTGTAATGGTCGACTGACCATGACTGCGCGCGCCACGGCACGATCTGGCCCAGTTCAGTGAAGTCAAGCTCAGATTGCGGTGACATACAGACAGGTCTGGATCGCCAACTTGGAAATGCACTGAAGAGTTCAATGAAGTTATTCTTTATATATTATCCGACTGGGAAGTAGTAGTCGGAAAGATGTTAAAATTAGTAAAAGAAGATTAATCAAGCGCGGGGACCGGGAATTGCCTTTTTGAAGCGTTCAGGGTTTTTCAGGCCTATGTATGAATCAATCGACGGGGAGGAGGAAGCAAATTAAAAACGCGCCACTTGTGAGGTATTGCAGCCGAGCCGCACTTCTACCACCAGATGGTCGCTGAGTTCAGTGTATACCGACGGCAGTTCGACACCCCTTTCGATCGAGTTACCAGCAAATCTTCAAGATTTACTCAACACACGGTCTCTTTACATTCTGCTTGGGCGGTTATCTTGGTGGCGGCAAGGTCAGGGAAGTAGCCCGTCTTCGTTGGGGACGTGTGAAAATCGTTCATCACTACCAGCTCACCTCCCCACCGCACGCTTTTGTATGCCTAAGAACGATTTTGTTTTCCTTGGCTGGGTACTCCAAACCGAGGGACTTTTGCAGTCCTTCATGGGGCCACAGAGTTCACTGAACTTTCCTTGGAGAATTGGTGGCATAGTCCTGTTGGGAACATAACTGACCCCTTGACCTACTGTTTTGTTGGCGTAAACTGAATTGTTTTGTTGGCATGGCTGACTGCGTCAGCATCCAGCTCTCTGCTGCCTCGCCACCACCATGGCGATAATCATCATTATTTCTCCAGCACTGACCTTTTGCAATGCACGTCTAACTTACCTAGTGGTTTGTTGAGACAGCCCTGCGGAGGCCCACCCCACATGAGCTGCGAGTATATAAAGCAGTCTTGCCTGCATCGTCAGTCCGTAAGAACCCCATGTTTTAATGGTAAGTTGAGCTCTAGCCTAGCCTTTGTTTCTTGCTCCCTCTAGACAAGGCTAGTCCAAAGTCGCACCTCCCATTCACGCCTTTACTCTTGCCGTCCCTTTTGGCGAGTGCAGTACTAGCTAGGCAGACTTTATTTGCATAATCTATGATTTCTGTGGGGGTTTTCGATGTCAAATTATTGTAAACCAAAGACTGTGCAAGAAGCTGAAGTTAGTGGCTTCGTCAGATTTGACGACTGCTCATCCACTCACTAGCGCCGTTTGCATACTTACACCGTATGTACAGGGAATCCAAACGTGACGTGATAACTAATCGATAAGTTGAACGAGGCGTGCAAAACAGAACTTATAGGTACCAACAAATTGCGCGACGACTCTTCAGCTGCTGAAACGTTTGGTCAGATTAGCCTTGTCGTGGTAACCTCTAACTCCTTGATTTTCACGTTTCCCCTTTCCTTTTTTGCTTGTTAGCTTTTCCCCACTATCCTTCCCATGCTGTGCTCAAGTTACTAATTGTATTGATTGGCCTACAGTACCCTAAACCATGAGCTTGCTGTTGTGTAATGATTTTCTGCAACAATTCAAACTGCTGTATTCTTTTTACACCTTATTTATGTTATTAAGCGACAGGACGCAGTTGATGAGCCGTCCCGCAATTTCTGGGTAAATTCTGCTTTGCACGCTTGCTTCAACTTTTACCGGAGAAAAAAGGCTTCAAACTAATCAATAAATTAGGTCATTTAAGTGCGGGCGCGATGACGGATGAGGGGAGAAAACGGGAGCGAGTGAAGACGTTACGACACAATCCCACCGCCGGCACTGCCCGGACATCCTGACTCCGTAGTGCCACAAACTCGGGGTAGCGTATGAGAAAGCCCATCCTTGCGCTTGGGAGGACATCTAGAAATGCGAGTTTTTTGCCAACTGCCTTTTGGAACGCAAAAATGTAATTAGAGTTGCGAAAATCCCCATAGCAATAATCAGAAGACGAGGTGGCGAGCATACGTAGCCTTCGATAAACTCGCGTCGGGCCAGTATAGTTATATGGGAACGGGGTAGAAGTAAAACATGTCAGCGATAAGGGAGATCGATAAAAGTTCTCCTCAAAACACAGGCTGGGTGTGGGAATGTGGGGGGAGGGAGGAGGGGGAGGGGGATAATAGCAGTCAGTGTAATGTAATTCCTTTGAATGATCAATTAATCCTATTATGGAGCTCTTACAGTCTGCACTTTTCTTAATGTCAATAAATGTATTGCCTGCCTGACAAAGTCACAATGTAGAACCACCCAATGGAAGGGTCTTGGCGCCTAAAAACCATAGATATGTGGCTCTACGGGAACTTTCCTCACTTGTTTGGTGGTATTTCCAAGCGAATTGAAAGTCGGTTTCTAAACACAGGTCTAAGAGCTCGAGTAAGGCAGTCGCGAGAATCGGAGGTGATCCCTGATCGGAGGATACGATTATTATATTGGTTGCCATTTCGATTTCCCGTAATTTGTTCAGGAATTCCATCGAGTACTCAGTTTGAAATTCTCATTTCCTTCTAAGTTGGTTGAAGAACTATAAGGAAACTCTGCAGTTGGGGCTGCCTTCGTTTTGCGGACTTCAGAGTGCACAAATCTTTGTAGTAGTTGACTCAGTTTCCTTTAGGAATTTGGCAGTATCTTCTGACAGTATTTGCTTTTCTACGAGACGTCTCAAAACTCTATCAATCGATAAAATATATACTCTGGTGGAGTAATGTATCGCATTTCGTGTCAAAATTGTCCTTGTAACTACACGGGGCAGACTGGGTGCATGCTCGGATCGTGCATACACGAACATAAACTAGCTGTGCGATGAGGCGACGCAATATCACAAGTGGCCGCCCACACCTGCGAAATGTGTCACGAGTTTAACTTCACAGCCACCAAAATAGTCGACCACGCCGGAAACAAAACAGGCCGAGAACTGATTGAAGGCTGGGCCTCGGATGAGAACTCGGTCAATCGATTTATCGATCTGGCGCCGGCGTACAGAGTCCTGCGTAGTCACCTCCAGTCTTGCGCCGTCGGTCGATGATTAGCCTGCATGCCTTATAACTGTCGCCTGTTCTGCTGCTGCCGCTACCTCTGACGATGAACTCCTGTACGAGTCTGAAAACTCGGGACAATAAACACAGTGTTCCGGTGCTCGACTCTTCTTCTTCACTTATAGGAATACCCCCCCTCTCCGTGATACAGGTGGCCTTGCGCTCAATTCCAGAAAGATTAGGCTTAGGGATGACGGTAGAAGGCAGGCAGAAGGCTGGCCGAGCACCGGAATAACTTGACGACTGCTCATTTACTTACTAACGTCGCTTGAATGCTTACACCGTAAGTCCAGGCGATACAGAGAATTCTAACTTAACGTGATAACTGGTCAATAAGGTGAAGCGAGCGTGCAAAACAGAATTTATTGATACCAACGAATTACGCGACGGCTCTTCAGCTGCTGGAACGTGGGGTTAGCCTAACCTTGTCGTGGTAACCTCTAACTCCTTGATTTTAACATTCCCCTTCCCTTTTTGCTTGTTAGCGGTTCCCCACTATCATTCTCATATTGTGCTCAAGTTACTAATTATATTGATCAGCCTACAGTACCCTAAACCAAGAGCTTGCTGTTGTGTATTGATTTTCTGCACCAATTCAAACAGTTGTATTCTTTTCATTCGTTATTTATGTTATTAAGCGACAGGACGCAGTTGATGAATAACGTTTAGCAGGCTATATTGGTCGTAAGAGTCGCCGCCTATCCAGAAGAATACGAGAACACTTGTTGGCATGACTAAGGAAAAGTGAAGTAAAAAGCATACACAGCTTCATCCTCGCACACATGGTTGATTGTGGGCATCTTGTTTATTATTCCGAACTTTTGAACAGAGATGACAGCAGCAACAGAGCGTGCGACACTCATAGGTGTTATTAGCCAATCAGCGGTCAGTGACGTGGGTATGTAGATGACCGCTCAGGGCTCTGTATGTCGGCGCCAAGTCAATATATCGATTGACTAGACTCGCATTCGAGGTTCAGGGTTCAATCAGCTCTCAGCTTTTCTTGCTCGCATCGTGGGAAATTATCCTGACTGTTGTGAGGTTGAACTTGTGACCCGTTTCGAAGGCGTGGGCTGTCCCTTGAGACAGTCGCATAGCCAGCTTGTGTTCACGTACGCATGATCCCAACGCGCGTTCAGTCTGACCTGTGTTGTTTCGCGGACATACTGCTTCGTCGGTATATTGTGGATCATGTCACGCGGGAATGGTGGTAAAGGAGGGGGGGGGAGGTTTACGGGTGATGCAGCACACAGGCCAGTTGGCTGACGGAATGCGGGAAATTACAGAAGACGACTGGTGGCAAAACAGAACTTTCGAGTAAAATGAGGAATGTATGCAGATACGATATCCAACTGGATATTCCATGGCGTTTCATCTTGAAGGAGTGCCTTACCACCGAACAACTGAGCCTATCCTCTGGCAGACATTCCCGTCATCCCTCAATTCATGCTCTGCTAATTTCCGTTTTTCATTTCTGCCCCTCTTGGGTACAGCTGCCAGCCACCAGTACCTAGCTAGATTTCGCAGGTACATACATCAGCGCATGATCCAATGTCTATGGACAGCTAACTGGGTCCTTCACCCTACCGTTTCCGGTTCCGCCTCCAGTCAAAGCATGAAAAATATGGACACTGGCAGCGGCGCTCACCGATCGTTCTTACGGAGGTCACTCGTTCCGTGGTGCCTTACGGGCTCTATCTCGTGCCCAGACAGCAGCCGCACAGCGGCGCATGATATAGGCAGGATGTTATTACCGACAAAGACGAGGGAGACTGGAATGGCCATTTCTGGCTTATTAGGTACAACGGAACGAATGAGTTCCGTAAGAACGATCGGTAAGCGTCCCCTCCTATTGTATATTCCCGATCAAAACCGACAGGGCAACGGGCTCGTGGCCCAGTGGTTAGAGGCGTAGACTTCTAACAAACAGTTCGCGAGTTCGAGCCTCGGGTGTGCCACACTTCGGGGTTGGGTATGACTGGCTGACGATGGCTGATAAGCCAGAAATGGCCACTCCCGTCTCCCTTGTCTTTGTCGGTAATAACATACTGTCAATATGGGCACTTTCCAGGAAGGTACCTAAGAAGATATTGGTACTTATCTGGGGCAAATCTCGATTTATTGTGGCTGAACCGGTACATGGGATACCTTAAACGTGATCACACCCTAAGTGACCGTTTCACCTGCAGTTTGCAACACCAATCAGCTTACTTTTTTCTCCGTCCCAAGTTCATCCCAGCCAGACCGACAGAGTAGTAATTAACTGAACTAATCGAATTGATCTAATTGGCGGCGAAAGATCCCTACAGTGAACTCGAACAACAAGTGGATGAAATGCTAACCGAAATTCCGAAGTGCATTTTCGACCCCAAACGATTACCCAATTGGGGTTGTAGCATTACCGTGCTGCATAATCCCGTGACATTTCAGTCATCTCAGGATGCTGGCTTTTGAATGAGTTTCTTTCTGGCCGTCCGCCAAAAGTGACTGCTTAAGCAGTATGAAATTGTCCCGTTGATTTTCGATCCTCTTATAAATTCAAATATATTTTATAGAAGGCATGCACAAACGTACCCATTTTTTACTCACTTGGTAGAAAGTTACATTTTCTTTGAACTTTACACCTAAAAGAGTATCTTGTGGCTTCAGAAAGTTTCTAATTAGGAGATTTTTGAGGAACGTGAAATGTCTGATTATAAAACATCCTATTACCACATTTATTAGTGTTGCGTGCAAAGTGTAAGATATGGGGCAAATCTACTGCAAAATGTTATGACTCCCAAGTGGTATCTTATTAACAGCATATAGAAATGCAAGATTTTCCTTAGACGGAAAATATATACATTGTAGTTTGAGGACCCAGA